CTCTCTCTCTCTCTCTCTCTCTCTCTCTCTCTCTCTCTCTCTCTCTCGCTCTTTCTTCTTGGTCTCGTCCCATCCTTCTTCTTTACGCCAGCTTCTTCTCCGTCTTTTTCTCTCTTACGAACCGCAGGCGCTATCTTACCGATCTAAAATTACCCTAGAAACGATGAACGCCGTTTTCCTTCTCTTTCTCTCCTTCTCTATTTCTCTTCCTCTAGGTCTTCTCCTACCGCTTTTCTTCCTGCGGCTTTCAACGCACATGCCGTCTTCCGCCATGGACGTAGCTTGTCTCTCTGAGGTGAGCGACTTATTCCTGAGCGCGATCGCTTAAATCAGGTTTATAGATCGGTATTTAAACATACGGTAGATACTATCGAAGTGTGGTTGTTGATCAGTTCGATGACAGATTATGAGTCGACCGGCAATCGGAGAACGGTTTATAGGTACGAAGAACGAGGAAGATGGTTTTGAAGACAAAGTGGAGCAGTGAGATTGAAATCAGCTTGCGGTGTCTTCCACTATTTATTTTTAAAGTTTTCTTTGCATCAACGAAGTTAACAGTGCAGTGATGTAAAGGGAAGTTAGAGTATTAAGGCGCAAGTAACGAAGTTTATTAAATGTAGAAAATAGAATAAGCTTACAGAAGTAAAAACTAATAAATTACTTTCTTGGATATTAAGTGATACCGTAATCTTTATGGCAGAAAAGTAGATTAATAATTTTAAATTTAATTTTACTTGATTTAGCAATTATGTTCCTATTAAATTAACATTAATTCTAATCCGATTTTAAGGTAAAGCAATCAACTTTTGAGTTTATTCACATATTCCTTATGCAGAAGATTAAATTACAATGATCAAGATCGGTCCGTCAGCGAATCGCTTTTTCGTGTGCGCGGTTCGCGACGGTAGCCGCCCTTTTTTTAATGGCCTCCGCAATTTTATACGTTAAAGTATCGTAAATGTCGCGGCTGACTTATGGTTATAAAAGATGCGGAAAGGCACGCACGCTATGCAAACTCCCGCTGCGCGTTTCACGCACCATAAACTTATGAATGACCGGGGGACAATTCGCCCAATTCGCAAACGTTTATCTTCGACTATGTCGCGGATTTTATTAACGATCCAATGATCTAATCAATCTTTGGTACTGTTCCAGACTCGAATAATGAAAATATATGTACGTTCCAATTTTAAAGACGAAACGCTGCGGTGGCCTGTAGTTTGTTTATGTTTCCTTTATATGCGTTCACGTTTACTGCAACGGTCGATCGTGCAACAGCATTTGATTACGTACAAATTGCGAGATCATAGATAGACAACGTGATAAATTATTATTGTTGAAGTCTGAGAAACATGTAAAAAATTATGCATTTTCTAAATATTAATTCTGTCGCATCGCAGTTACCACTGTTAAAACTGTAGTCTTTATTTCATACAGCGATCATTTTCACTTCACCAAACGGTCCGAGAAAAATACATCAATTCTCAATCCAAAGGCATGCATGCATGCAGATGCGGGTTTTGTTTTATATGCAGTTTGCGTTATTTCCGTGATTCGCATCGCGTCGCATGGAGAGGCTCGCAGAGGCGATTCCCGCGATTGCGGTTCTGCGCTTCGGACTTCTATACCTGGCCCGGGCCGACACTGCGTTTTCCACGTTTGGCTAAATAAAATACCACGGGCTCTCCAAAAAGAGATTCAAGATCGCTCGACCGTTTGGCTAGAGTTTGCGCGGTGATCTCGATTTAGGCGCGTGACATATTTCCACGCATCCTCTGGCTACACGTATCTGAACGCACCTGTCGCACCTCCTCCCTCCGTTCTTCTGTCCTGGTCTCCCACTACGGTAGAATCTAAATATCGTATCTCCGGCCGAGGAGGATTCACTCCGACTGCGATTCGCGCGCATATCCGCGTGTTACTGCGCGGCCTACATCCGAGGCTAAATCCATGGAGACTCCGACTCAGTGACGAATGGATCATCTGCGTGGATTTCCGCGCGATCGCGCAAGAAAATAAGCGAGCTATCCCGTCTCGTTGTTGCGACTTATTCTTATATGCGACTTATTAACTATATATATAGTTAATATAATTCTATGCTAGGAGATGAAAATATCGCTTTACATAGGTTTTTTCTTTTCTTGAGAAAATTTTGAGTTAAGTTAAAAAGTGCAATTATTTTAAATTTAAGACATATTTTTTCAGTATTAAGAATTTCCTATGTATATATCATTAATTTCCTTTTTTATCTAAAAATTAATTACGGTAAGCATACTTACGTGGTACAAATTTTTCATTCTATGTTATTTATCGTGATATTATTAAAACAGTAAGTAATAAATTAAATTTATTACTAGTAGATTTAATAATTATAAAAAAGAAGATGGAGGATTATATAAAAGAGATACGATTATAATTTTGAGCAAAATTAAATATATTTATAAACGGTAAAATTAAATACATGTACGGCCGTATTTTCTAAATTGCAACCAATATCGCTTTGAGAAATAAACATACCTATCTAATTTCGTCTTATTTTCAAGCGCATTGATCTTCCTGCCATTTGAGCGCGCGCCAAACGGAATGACTCGTGGCAAAAATTCCAGGCATTTCCGCGCGATTGGCAAAGATTTTCGCGATGAAAAAAGAAAGAGGAGAAAAATCACGTTGAAAACCTAGAGACCGTGGCTCTCATCGTGACGTGCAACAAAGTTGCACGAAGTTTGATCGAGTGCGCCGGTCTTCCGCAACGCGGTGGCCGATGAAATTTCCATTATTACACGTTCAAGTACCCGCCAACGATGTACATCGTCGCGATAAGCGCGCGCGGATGATAATTACTTCACAAGCGGGGAAATCAGAGAAGTTTACTCCGCTCGGGCATGGAGTGTGCCGATGTTACTACCGTCGGGAGTACTCGCGGGTTGTAACTTATGCGTATTTCCATAGGGCCGCGAACTTCAGCGGTACCCCGAAGTTCCGCTAACCTTGCCTTATAGAATCAAGAAAGCAACCTTAGCGCAGCTTAATCAACTCGCGTACGCAACCGGCTTTAGCCGAGAAGAATACAAACTTGAATTTTTTATAATAACTTTCATTAAATAATGAAATATTTCTCTTTAATTTTTTATATAGCACTATGGATACGGGTAAATTAAAAATTCCACAAATAAATAATCTATAAAATTATATTTCTAACTTTCATGAAAAATCACAAATAAATAAAATTGATTATACATTAGAGAAAATTGATAATTTAAAATAAAAATAAAATATTTAATATTGATACATTTCTGAATGTGTATTTATAATAATTGTTGCAAACCGTTAAGTATTAATGGTATAACGATTATTTTGTTATTTTTTCTATTCTATCAATTTCATGCAAAATACTCAACAGTGTTAAGACTTAAAAATCTACCTACTTCGCATCTATTTATTTTACGTTTTTAACTGGACATTTTGTGCTCGTAAATGTGCGATTCTAATCGAGATTGTCAGGAAATGGTCAAGGGTCTCGTCATTTAGTCTGCGTTAACCCGAGATACGTCTGTACTTTATAGTGAGTTAATTTCGTCGTGCGTCGAAACACGATTTTGATGAGCCCTTTCGAGGAGCATTTAATTTCCTCGTGACTCTCCCTGACCGAATAGAGAAACGTTGCTTTACGAGCCGACGATTTATCGCGTGCATGTATACGAGACGACATGTGAGACCTATCGGGTGTTCCTGCGGCAAAGGAGGAAGGAAAGTCCGCGATAGCCCAGCCGGTTATTCGTCGGACATTGGATGTCGTTAAAGTCGTTGCCGTCAATGTGGTCTCCGCGTAAAAGCGGCTTTTCCCCCTTTGCTTTTACGACCATCGTCCCGTTCACTGGGGGGTACCGTGAACGAACAAATTGGTTACACGAAGCGGTGGATTATTTTCGCAATGGCTACTTACGTTTAATTTTATTTTTACGAAGTTTCGTTACTTAAGAGCGTATGACGCGCTCGATATGGCAGTGCAACGATCGCATTTGCCATTTCAAGCGCGAGACACATCGTCTCAGATTAATCGTAAACTGTATTATCGTCATCTTATAAAACTTTACGAATTATTTTTAGATACTTCGAGCATCATACTTACAAAATTAAATCTATTTGTGTAATTATAATAATTTTTGCTTTCTTCTTTATTGTATGTACATCATTCGCCGGCACATTCTATTTTTTCTATTATATATCTCTATATTCTATTATCTATTTTCACATTATATCTCTATTCACGTTATATCTCGGAGAAACAATATTTTCCACAAACACAACAATGAGTCATGCCCGTACGCTCGTGCATATTCATACAAGCATATTTTTGCATCGTTAATTAAATTTCAACGCGTGCGCATACGAAACAAAGGGCCCTCATTGAGCGTTCTTGCCGACGATTGCTCCTGTTTGCGCGATCGTGGAGGTCCGCCAACAATAACGCATAATTTTTACGAGGGCGGAGAAAACGATTAGCGGGAAGAGAGGACGGTCGGGGATGCGAAAAATTTCATATTCGACGTCAGCGTGGAAAATGCATATGCATACGTGCGGCATATATTTCTGCCTGCATCGCGTATATTTGTGCGCGTGCCACGCGCGCGCCTAAATAGGAGACCCCATCCCGGCAGTCCTTCCCGTCCTCGTCCCGGCCGTACATTGTGCCCCACCCCTCGCTCCATCCCCTTGTGCCGTTTCCTCTCCTCGCACCTCGCGGAGCCGAGCTTTTAATTAACCCGTTTGTTTGTCCGCAGGTTGGTATTCTTGAATTGTGCGGCTCTACGTGCGCCGGAAGTATCCCG